CAAACAGATTAGATATTTGAGTGTAGGTATATGGGTGGGGAAATACTGGTTTTTACGTCGCACAAAACGATAATGATGATGTAACTTTTTTTTTAACATTGAAATTTACGAAACAATTCTGATACTGAGTGATACACACGCGCTTTTCTTCTTTGCCTTATTCTCTCTCTCTTTCTTCGTTTTTTTAGGCATCGAGTGATCGAGTTTTTAATTTTCGTTGTTCTTAAGTTTACCATTATTCTCAGATACACATAAACAATTAATAAATAAATAAATAAACAACAATAAAAACCTCACCTTGTGTAATTTTGAGTACGCATGTTTGCATAATGTATGCATCATCGCAAAAACCAAAGCGAGTTTTTTTCATAAAGTATTATATTTCACATTTTTTAAACTGTTTAGCATTTCCTGTTTCACTCGTGCATTCGCTCATTTTGTCGCACATTTTTCCGGATATAACCAGATGATGACGATAATGATGATGATGATGGTGATGATTGATGATGATGAACGGGAAGCCGGGATGGTATATGCTGAATAACTCAAAACTTTAAACTTGGATGCTCACTGCGAAACTAATAACAATAACGCATCCCAAAAAATAAAGTTTTTTTTTCTGTCTCAAAACATCCATCCACTTACCTAATCTGCAATACCAGCATTTCAATTTCGAGATAACCTAAAAAGTAGAAATCATAATCGTTAACTAGAAAAAAAATTTTTGCGGATTCGAAGATCCCATTCTAGCATTTCCCAACCTATTCATGCACTTTTTTTTTAATACCTGATTTATTGGTTGATTTAATTTCATGAATTTTTTGGTTATTTGATTGATTTATTGGTAATAAAAGAACCGCAGCATGTTAGCTTATTGAGGATAATGGTATGATATGACGCAAAGTTCGGTTATTAATTTAATGTTGCTGTCGTATACGTATCATTGTTAGTTTATTGTTTCAATAAGACAAAGCCACATACACCCCTTTCCTTATGCCTATATGATTTGATGATGCCTGGGGTGCATGATAGATATCACTGGTGTGAAACAATCCTCGTGACTCAATAAAGTAACAAAAGATGCACACATGCGAAAAAATTCATCCAATAAAATTTCGCCATACAAAATTTATAGATTTTTCTTTAATTGTCGGGAATATTCGAGGTTGTAATGGTGCATGAAAGGACTGCGAGGCATATGGGCATGATCCTGTGAAAATTCTGAATGCCGAGAATATTGCGTGTTCTATCGAGGATGGATGAATAGGATGATTGTTGTCATTATCTTTTTTTCTTTTGAACGACGGGATTTCCTAGTGGGGGTGAGACACGTTGTTGAAAAAATCAATGGAATGAAAAAGAGGGTGAAAATTTTTGCATTCATTCGGAATTTCTTTTATTGTTGTCTTTTCATGCATTATATTGTAAAAAATTCACCAATCATAACGCTCATATGGGTTCATATCGTGCGAAAAAAAGATTATATCTTTTTTATCGTGATTGTTACTGAGGGACGGTTAGGTCTGGGTACTATTATACAATCAATAATTATCAAATGGCTTAACATACTTGTACGAGGTAACTGATAATGATACCTTTTGTCCAAATTCACATCACGTACATACGCGCATATACAGAGAGTAAGTAAGCGAGAGAAAATAAGGAGACAAAGGTAAAGGGAAAGGTGAGGATGTAATAAAATGCATGCATTTATTTTAATTATACTTCATATTAAAGAGAATAATTATAATTATACATATAAATAATTATATTATCATAATAATAATAATTATTATTATTATTATTATTTTTATTATTATTATTATTATTATTATTATTACATAGGACCAACTGTTTGATTGATTCAAAAAATAGGAGAAATTCGTTTACGCGTAATATACGTATCATACACATATTATGCATACACGCACATATATTTTGATGATGACACGTACAAGATCTGCGAAAATCGTTTTTTTTATTTCGGTTTTTTGAAATATTTTGTTTTGTTTTCTTAAGCTAATACGTTTGCTTTCTTAGGCTAACACGTTCAGGTTTTATTTTCCTAGGCTGATATAGTTTGCCTCTTAAGCTATACGAACGTTGATAGCATAATTATGAACTTAATTCAAATATGCTGTAGAATCAAGAAAATTTTTTCCCATTTTGATGCTAATATCCATGCTAATGCTAAGAATGATTCCATTTTTCGATTGTATGCTTGCACGTTTTCTTTACTGTAAGAAAAATGAGGTTTATGTGTCAAAAAACCAACAACAATAATAAAAGACAAAAATTGTGCTTGATGCTTATCAATTTTTTTTTTCTTTTAAACTTTTCATGTGTATATTATACAGATACAGATACACATTGCTTTTCACACACTCACACACACACACACACACATATACACACACGCATATCTCTGTGAAAAAATATACACGCGTCTAATTTTCCTATCTAAACCTAGTTTTGACGTTATCTAATTTCATCTTTCCCAGATATTTTAATTAATTAGATACCCGTGATAATTGTAGGAATATCAAAAACAGGGTTACGATATGAGATCAAAATAGGGTAAATGGGGGGGGTAGGGTTCTTTTGTAACGCGCGTCGCGTGTTCATCTAAATCTCGAAATATTTTGCTAATGTAGCATTTACCCGAATTTTTTGATTTTAAAAAGAGAAAATCATGATTAATTATACGCACTTTAAAACAGCTATTGTAAATAAAGCGAATATACATGTAGACGGGTGCAGACAATAGGAAAAACTAAATGTACAATGTATAAAATAAAAAATATAGAATAAAATGCAATATTTGAATAAACAAATGAAATGAAACGCCTTCACGATTTACCCAATGATCCAATTATCTTTTCTTCATCAATCATATCGATCTATCCTTTTCTTGTATTGATTATAATGACTAATTCGTTTGCTTCATCATTCATTATCGATCTATCCTTCCATTCTGATTACGGTTTGTTGTATGATAGGTCAATTGGAACATAAACTTCGACAGAGGAATGAAGATAACGACATATTCACACATGCACGTATGTATCATGTATCCCTCTCCTCTCTATTTCCGTCTTGATTCTATTCAATGGCCAAAAATCCTCGTTTCACGTCTACACAACGAAACATCAAAATCTATACCAATCAGATCACGCTTCAGACCAAATGCTTTTTTTTACATGTATTCCTACTATTTTAGAAAAAAATTCGGCAAGATTTTATCGCATATAAAGTCGGTAATTTTTACGTTTACTCTACATATATAAAATATATAGATACATACAATAGAAAATAGATAAAATTTTAGAAAACTAAACTTAAAAATGAACGTTTAGTCAAATATTCTAGGTATTCTAATTATTAAATAAAACTGCGGTTGACTTTTATTTTGTCAGCAATACTGATAGACTGCTCAACTTTCCTTATTAAAACGGAATTGGTATTACTTTGCTGTCAATATGTTGATAAACTATAAAATATATAAAATGGATATAAAAAAAACTTTCTTCTGCATATTCGTTCGTCGTCGTCATCATCATCAACAAGCCGAATTGACTGACCAGAGGTGACAATTAGAAAAGTTTTTCTTATCACATCTAGTATATTATAGTTACTCTATTGTGAAGTCATCGTTATTTGCATAACAATAATTTTTAATATGCTGATTTCTTATGAAAAAATAAATGATGGTTTAATATATATATATATATATTTATACATATACATATAAAAATATAAATATAAAAATATAAATATAAAAAAAATAGATATATATATAAGCATCAAATATTAGAAGAAAAAATCATGTTTTATTATACTCGTTAACAGGGGTTATTCATACAATATCCTATTGTTTCTATTTTTCTTAAATACGAAATGATATTATCATCATCAGTTAGTATATAGTGGTGTAATAGTTGATATTTTAATATAATGATAATATATTAATCATTATATTTTCAGAAAATGAAACATTTTATTGTATATAAAATAACATATTTTACAAATGTTCAATATTCAATGTTTTTTCTCTCGTATATTATCATAATAAAAGAAAAACAACAGCAACAATAATAATACGCAGTTCCGCTGCTTCATATAACAAAATCGCCGTTATGGTGTGTTTATTGGGTTATATATCTTTCAAAACACTTTAATTAGTTTATATTCCTTGTTGCACAAAATATAAAAAAATTAGAATACCTTATTTGAACCAATTAAACAGTTATTGTTTACAATATAAATAAATATACGTGTTTACATTGTAAGTTTTATATAATACTCTAAAAATATTATAAATATACTACAGCCTACGACTTTTTTCATAAATATTATAATATTTATATATATCCTGTGTCAACAAGTCTAACATTAATATCGACAAAACCAAAAAACGAAACATTACTTTCGACAATTTTTGTATATTTTGACACGTTAACGACACCACTTTTTTCTTATTTGGTATTTGTCGCTTGTTTTTTTTGGTCTTCACTTTATCAGCAATAGAAATACGTAGACTAACTAACACTGCAACTTTGCAACTCTTTTCGCTTTCTTATTTATAAGTAATTAATTTGATTATTTATTATCAAAAAGTCGGATTGATCACTTCCCAACCAACAAAGAGAAGGAATCATTCATATTCAAAACACTCAAAGTTAAAAACATATTGAATGAGAGAAAGTCGTATCTCGACTTCTAAGGTAAATACTTCTTCGTTTTGATTCTGTGCAATATTCACTCATACCGATGGTTGTTTATCTGACCTTATTTCATCACTTTTAATCGCAACCTTGTCTTTCGTCAACTTTTCATATCGTGTTCGTTCGTTTTTCACCCACTGCCTTAATCATATATCTCCTCCTTTCAACTCCACTTCGTATTCTCTCTCCATGTACGCCCTTTTCTGGTCCCCCCCCCCATTTTAACTCTCTCTCCTCACTCGTCCACCAAAATTTCCTCCACACAGTTCTTCAGAAATGCCACCGCCTCGTTCTAGGTTTAAAGAAGTAATAACTAAGGAAAAATCGAGTCAAGGCAGAATGGTAATTATTATTATTTGTTTTCTCTTGGTTTCGTCACGTGAATTTCATTTCGATTCTTCTCGAGTTTCGCTCGCAACACGCCCATATATATACTCTTGAGTTCACTCGGATCAGTTTTTTCTTTACATTCTCCCAAATGGGGAGGACACTTCCGCCAAATGAATAAAATGAAACGATTGTTGCGGGAAAAGAAAAAATAATACTAGGATGTAGACAAACAAACAACAACAACAACAACAACAACAACAAAGAAGCGTGGTAAAATTGATGTGCGAAACGCGATGATGATGATTATTTATTTTATTATTATCGTATATGCATTTATTTATTAGCACTAATAAAAAAAAACTTTTTTTTCTCCTTTTGTAATAAAATAACTAGAGCGCGTCTGCCTCGAAACCAACCAATACCAACATAATAAACACTAACACTCGCGCTCATACTCCCATCGCCACGACTACCACCAGTAGCAATAAAAAAAGCGGTATGACGGCTATGGCAATAAAGGTAATTAATTTGAGAATAAAAAAACTTGTAAAAAAAAAAAAAAAAAAATATTACCCATCCAGAAAAAATAATGATGCATGATCCACGTGTTCTGCATAAAATCAAGTTGGTCAACAACACCAAGACTATTTAATAACAACCACACAACAAGAACGAAAAACAAGAAAAAAATTTTCTGAAAATGACTTCTTTTATTACAAACAATATTTCTCAATTATCTTTTGTCTCATTGACTTTTTTTTGACATGTATGCAAATGTACAATTTTTAATAATAACAAAATAATAATAATTATGGTTGAATATTTAGGAAAATCCTTTACTTCGGGGTTCTTCAAAACCCACGGTAACGAGCAAGACGACCGCTGCCTCAAATAAAAAGGTATAAATTATTAATTTTTTTTTTGTTATTGTTATTTCCACGACAATTGTTGTGGTTATCATAATACCCCACATTACTTAAAAGAAAATTAAGCTATAAAATGTGTTGATCGTCATCAATGATTAAACTTAAAAAAAACTTTAAATTTTTTTTTCCTTAAAACTCTATTATAGCAACAGCCTACTAGTCCTCATCGTCCGACAACTCCTTCGGGCAAGAACTTTATTGAAAGAAACATTCAACTTGCTGGTTCTAAAACGCCGCCACCACCACCACTTTCGCCAACTCGAGTCTCACGTACACCTTCGCCTGACTCATGCTCGTCGCCAATCAGGAAAACTGAGGCCTCAACAGCAGCAGTTGGCACGAAACTTGCCGTAGGAACAATGAAGGATAGTAGTAAGAAGAAATCAGCTATCAGTCCTAATGCTACTAGTTGCGCTGCAACGAACCGTTCTTCCAATAACAGCGCCACCACTCCGTCCTCTCCACTTGAATCTGCTCTCCTCCAGGAAAACAAAAAACTCAAAATGTTTTTGAATGAACGCTCTCAAGAACTACATGACGCTGAAGTGGAGATTCAAGAATGCGAAGAAATTATTTTGGCTTTACAAGAACGTGTTCGTCAAGTTGAAGCTCGCAATCGCGAATTACAAATTGAAAATGAGACACTACGTGATAAAGTTATTGAGCAAGAATCACAAAAATCTTCCACCAGTATTCTTTCGGCTATCATGAATAATACTCAACGAATTCGTGGTGAACCTTTGAATGAAGAGAACAATGTGAAAGTTGCTCCCGCTCCAATTGTTCCCGCTCTTAACTTTACGACCCCTATCTTATCAACTCCTATCTTATCGACTCCTATCTTATCAACTCCTATCTTATCTACTGCCAATGCTGTAATGCCTAAGTCAACTCCTCAACAATCGGTATTGTCCACTTTGATTGCCCCCATTGCTAAAGTTAATCCCTTGACTCCTGCTCCTGTCTCTGTTCATGATTCCTTCCAACAGTCTGCTCCTTCACAAATCGAATCCAAAGCTCTTGTTCAACCACCATCTTCGGCTGCTTCTTTCGTTGATCAACCGCGTATTCAACCGTCTAAAATGGAATCCCCGCTAAAACCGGAAATGTTTGATACACCCATGATCCTCGATCGTCAAGCTCTTAATAAAGCAAAAGCTACAGCTGCTGCTTTAAATACGGTTATGGAAGAAACAGACGATAGTGATGACGAATTCTCAGTCGACGGTGATAAAAACGAGTATAATCGAGACGTCTTCTCTGATAAGGGCATTCATTCTTCTGTCTCATCTTTTGAAGAAGACAATTATGAAGATAATGAAAAGGCTCATGTAATATCCAATGTGATGACTAATTCCGCTCGTAATGAAAGATTCTCACTATCTGAAGACATCAAAATCTGGAAATCCAATCATTCGGCTAAACTTAATGATTTGAATGTTATCATGGAGGAGGATGAGGAAGAAGAGGAGGATGAAGAAGATGATGAATTTGAACTTCCTCCTAATCTTCTTAATAATCCCAAACAACATCTCGACCAAATCTCTTCTGTTGCAATGAGTTCTTCAATTGATCAACCCAAAGCTTTTTTTCCTGCACAAAAGTTAAAACCAATCATCCAAATCACTCACGACAAGGCCAACTCCTCTGATTCTCCCTCTTTTGAAATTACAAAACAACAACTTGCTAACAATCAACAACTACTTACTGATTCGGACAATTCTTCTGAACAATCCCTTAATGTCGACTCTCATAATATTGGTGGTAAATCTTCTTTTGGTAATAACCCTGTAGTCTCTAATCCAAAACCGGTCATTCCTCATCATCTTGCGGACTTTCAACAATCGATCAACGGCAATGAACAATCCACTCAACACAATAATAAACTCGCTTTAGAAAAATCATCCCAAGATTATTTTTCTTGTCTTCATGAAGCTACAACTGTGAATCCAATCCATCGTGAATCTTTTTCTTCGGTTAAATCTGATGAATCTGATATGTGGTCAACTCCTTCGGCATCTTCCTCTCAACATGAATACTATTCTTCTTCGGCAACATCTCGTTCTACTACCCGCACTACTCAATCTACAAACTCGATCTCTGCTTTTGGCTCATCTCCTCAACGATCTCTCCATTATAACACTAATGAAAATGAAAACAACCCCTCTCATGCATCTTTGGCTGCCTCTTATACGGACAATCCTCTTCAACAATTTAATCCAACTGATGAATTTTATCACTACTCTCAAAACCGTGTGGCTCAAAATAATTCGGCTTACCCTCAACAACAAATTAATTCAAATCTCCCATCTACTACTGGCCTTAACTCTAACGATTACTCCACTTCTGCAAGATCCCAATCTCAACAATCATTCTCTTCTACGTCTGATATCCAATCTTCGGTTGCCTCCTCTGAATATTCAATTACTCCAACCCCAGTTAATGATCGACCTTCATCTCCGAAACACTTGTTTAATCAATCATCTGCTAAAAACTCACCTCAATTGTCCAATCGTCGTATGGTTTGCCCTAATGATTCTTCTCAACTTTCGACCTCGCATGTTCACTCTCGTCTTTTGTCGCCAACATCGGTATCTCCATCTCGTCCTCGTAATCCAACCCCATTGACTGCTGCAACATCTTCCCCTTCTTCAACGTCATCCTCTTCAACTGGTCTTGCTAACTCAACTGATAACACATCTCAAACCTCTGCAACGTCTATCTCTTCTGCTGTTCCATCGTCTGCTTTATCCAACTCAACAACTTCTCAGAACTGTACACCGGCTCTTAACTCTGTTCGATCTGCTCCACTAAGTCAAGATGAAACCCAATCTGCTGATCATGCATTTAGTCCTCCAACTCCTCCAGAAACTAATGATTCGATGGCTGTATTCAAACATTATCTGCGTCTCTTGTCGGAAACTTGCTCTCGTAATAGTCCATTAAACTACTATGAACTCCAAAAATATATTGATGAAGGATCCTCGGCTAAAGTCTATTCTGCAACTTCGCTGAAAACTCGAGAAGAATTGGCTATCAAAGTTGTCCCGTTGACTTATTCTCTTGAATTCATCTTTAACGAGATTTACGTCCTCAAAAATCTCAAACACAAAAATGTCGTCGGTTTTAAGGAAAGCTTCTTGCGCTGGGACGGAAAAACACGTGAAATTTGGACCGTAATGGAAAAATGTGCCCGTGGTGATGTAACAAGCCGTGCTGGAAATATCTCTCAGAAGGAAGTAGCTCGTATTGCACGTGATATCTTGAATGGATTGAAACACGTACACGAAGCCGGCATTATTCACCGTGACATTAAACTCGAAAATATTTTGATGGCAGCAAACAATGATGTTAAAATCGGTGAGTTTTTTTACAGTTAGATTTATTATTTTTTTTGAATACTATTTACTGAACCTGATCATTATAATTATTTAGCTGATTTTGGTGTGTGCTCATTAACACCAACTTCTACTACTGGAATGGTCGGAACAATTCCTTATATGGCTCCCGATGTGGTAAACGTTAACGAAAATAATCCCTACTCAACCAAGGCAGATATTTGGTCGTTAGGAATTTGTGTTCTCGAATTGCTAACCGGAAAGGCAGCGTGGGGACGCCTTAGTGATACCGAAATTTTTGCTATGCTTAAACGTGGTGAAAAACCGCCAACTTTCGGTCGTTTGCGCAAAAAGGCAGATATTGGATGGGAAGCTGTAGACTTCTTGGAAAGATGCTTCGCTAAAAACAGCGAGAACAGATGTTCCGCTGAAGAATTATTGCAGGTTGGTATTGTGACTCATTCAATAAATAACATTTGATCGTTTAAACTTATTATTCATTTATTAATTGATTGATCTACATTTTTTCCTCAATATAGCATCCATTCATTACTAGTCTTCTTGCCTAGATAATGTAGAACCACATTAGGGCGCGAAAAAGAAATAAAATTCAATGATATTTATTATTAATAACGATAATCTAATAATATAATAATAATAATGGTATATATTAATAACTATATATATTATCTATACATAATATTTAATATAATTTAATTTAATATTTATTTTTTAGCATTTTGCGCATTTCATCATTTCATTTCATTCAACATGTAAATATCAGCATATCATCATCATGAATTCCAAAAGTATCTATAATATTTTAATATTATAAATGGGATTATAAAAATTTTATATCCCAACAAAAAATGGCCCATATTATGCTATATTTACTAATACTAATGCTAGTGAATAATTAATGCTAAAATAATTTAATAATCAAATTAAATTAAATTACGTTAAAATGACATAATCGATTGAGAAACGGTTGCTAATCTCATTTTTACCCCAGATCGAAACCCCCCTCTGGGGAATGATACGAGATTGGCATGTTTGGTATCTGTGTTCACTCAACATAGAGACACATACACAGGAACACAGACACATGTAATAAAGTGATTTCATCACAATTTATTGTTAAACATACCATTTTAGATTACTGAACAATTCACTGGTAAATCGCCATTGTTCACGTTTATCACGACTTGATTTCGGAAAGCGAATTCCTAAACGTAGCGATACACGCAGGTTTTTCCTGTTCTTGGAAAAATTGCTGTTACAAAATGAAATCATTCACTCACGTCAAAAAATCTATGTATTGTGCAGATCTAATGAAGAATATTATTATTATTATTACTAATAGACTAAAAATAACCATAAATATTTAACTTAGTAATACCTGAGTCACTAGTTTTATGAAAGAAACCGTAAAAATCCGTGCCACATTTAATTTACTGCTCAAAAAAAATGATTATTAATATCGGATGGATAATAAAGTTAGTTTCACCGTGTGCCCTACATTAGATAATAGCAAAATAAAATTTAGGTTAGGTATAAAATTCTCATTAGTCAATGCCGACATTATAATTTATTTGTTTGTTTGTTTGTTTGTGGCGACATTTTCAGTTGTAAAATTACCATGGTAGTACATTAACAATGGAAAGTTTGTGTGATATCATGAATTATTTTTGGGCATAGTAATGGTAATGACGTAATGTGGAAATTAAATCCACATGTTAGGAAATTTTAACCAACACGCTATACTGTATGAATTAAATAAAAAGTGGCTATACTGTATGTGAGAATCTATGAAACGTTTTGGTTATTTATATTCCCTGATTTTCATATCATAAATCATCTAGAATTTACCCCGAGTGAACAAAATAGGCATAATTCTAGCCAAAAATAATTCGGTTTCGATTAATCGTCAATAAATATTCATCCCATTTAGGGGGTTATAATATTGATGGGGTATGCCTCAATGAAGACACAATTGGTTGAATACTAATGAATGTACATTTCACATGTTTTATTACACTAGCATTTAGTTCAAGATACTTGCGTGCGTGTGTGTGCGTGGTGATTTATCCTTACAGGTATATATTACTTTTAAAACAACGAGTTTTCTGTTGAAAATTATTTGAATCCAACTTTGGTCACAAGAGAAATACCTTTAGTATCCTGTTTGCATTTGAACCGACAGAAGCAAAATGGATCCAATCAAATAAAAAAATCTTATCATCGTTTTGTTCCTTAGGTGTAATCGTAAATGAAATCTAATAATGATCTTTGCATATCCTATTGTTCTTCTTGAACATTTTCACAAACACATACATGTTTTTTCCATTACATAACAATTGTGACTGTCTTGTGAGCGAAAAAGCGCGTGTTAGTATGTGTGAAATTCAATATGAAAAAAAAACGACATTTTTTTCTATCAATCAATCAATATCAATATTAAGTTAATATCAATATTAATATCAAGAGTTCGTAAAGATAGTGATTTTATATTATTCATTATTATTATTGATATTTGAATGGTCATTTAATAATGTAAGCTACAAAGGACTCAAAGAATGAATGTTAATAATACATTCTATTGTGGGATACATGTTAGACGTAACATTTGATAATGTGTGATATCCGCAGCCGTGATCATGCATTTTAATTACTAGCATTCATTAATCTTTTTCACTAGTTTGATAGGTAAATATAATTGGAAATTTTTATAGATCCTTAAATGGAAAATTTCCCATTCTTACCATTGTTTACTTTTTAGTATCTCAAGGAAAAATTATGCAAAAAATAAATTATTAATTAAAAAATTGATGCCATTAATACATTAAAAAATCTCGAGTACATAAATATGCATCGACTAATAATAACAATAATAAATAAAACAGATCAATACAAACGCGTCGTTTCAGATTAATAATATTTATTTCCAAAAATTCAATTTACAAAGTCCAGTAATTAATGAATGATGAATGCACTGTTAGTTTCGGTTTTCTGTCACCCGAAACTTTATTAACCGTTGCAATGGCTACAACGAAGTAACGAGAATGACCACCTACGGCAAACCAAGCCAAGAAAGTAAAAGAAAAGAATCACGAAATGCTTCTTACTACGGTTGTCGCCGTTCTTGTTGTCTGCTAAAAAAAGGTCGATAAAGAAAAAAAACGAGAAATTCTATAGAAAAATCAAAAAAAGAGAAAGAGAGCAACAACACATTGGATTGCATCATTGGTACGTATGTAACGTTGTTTTCTATTTTACGTCGTCGCTGTTTTTGTTATTGGCGAGGATGCTGTCTCACTTTGTTATAATTTAATTTTACGCCATCACTTTGTCTCTTTCCTTTTTGACCTTTCTTCAACGCCAAATATGACAAATATAAATCTCACACAACACTGAATGATCACCCGAATGAATACTGGGATAAAGCGAATTTGGGGTGAATGGGAGCGTATTAGAAATGCATGATGCAGCGGCAGCATTCTCAGGCATGCATACTCAATTAAGCTGACTGACTAAGAGAATTGACAGAATGACAAACAAATCACATTGGAAAAGTCATTGGCTTTTCTATTTAGATTCGCGAGTAAATAAACTTTAGCCAAACATCCATTGAGAACGCCATCGATTTTCGGTGTCTTCCTCCTTGCGCTCGTCAGGTAAATTTTGTTAGGTGAATCCCGTTCTCATTTGAGTGCAAAAATATTACTCTATTTATGTCAAACCCGCCAAAGTGAAAAAAAAGAGGGATTGGCAACGGATATTCACTCGCTATATTGATGCAGGTATTACTAGCCGTGATGGTATTCAAGGAGATGCGATAAATAAGTACCTAAATATTGGACGCATAAGGAAATAAAGAGAACTACTTTGCATAAAAGATATACACGAGTTGGATAAAAAAAATTTAAAACCGTATTTTTTAATTTCTAAATTTGTGAATTTATTTACGATAATGCTAATTCATCAAAGATTATCGACACGATGTTTCTTTTTCTCGCACGCCGATTCTTATTTAATTGCTTTGCTTACATAGGGCTTTTTTATTATGAGAATGCATTCAAAATAAGAAAGAAATGAGTTCAACTTTTCTATTAAGAGTGCCCATAAATGAAGCGCATAAAATGGATTCAATAAAAGCAAAAATGAACATTAATTAAGTAATAATTTATTGGGGGAGATTTTTTAACATTTGAAAAAAATCGAGAGTTTGACAAACACAAGCATCATATTTGCATAAGCATACAAGAAAGAATTCGATCAAATTTTTGCTCCGCATAAGGTTAAAAAAATTTTGTAAGAGAATATCGATTCAATTATGTCAATCGATCATCGAACATACAAAAATATCCAATTAATAATCAATCATTTTCTCTAAACCATTGATCTATTTACGTCCCTTTTGTTTTCCTTGAATAGCATTCATTCAAGTGCTTGCGACGCATAAACTTACATTTCTAATAACCGTGGCTTCGGTTTACCCGTGTTTTTGCATTAAGAACAACACCTCAGAATAATCTACAACATACAGGCGAAAAAGCAAAAGTCTCATCACAATACATTATTGGAGAAGTCCGCGGTGGTGATTTGCATGTATGGATTGTGTGGTAGAGAAGCGGCGATAGCAATAATCAAATAAATAATAAATTGCGGTAATTGAAGGGGGTAGCGACACGAGACACATCAGTTCATTATGAAAAAATGCGCCAATTTACAAAACAAAGATTTTGGGGGGTGTTTGTAATACCACGAGAAAGAGAGCAAGTGTTTGATAGAAAGAAGAGAGAAAGAAAGAGAAGGGTCTAGACATTAATGTCACAGGTCTAAGAGATCAAAAAGAGGGAAAGAGGGTGATGAATAAGCAAACATGAAATTTGTGTATTTAGTATTTTCCGCGTTGAATTTCGTCTTATATGTAACATCAAGGGAAAAATTTCAGACTGTAATACACGCATAGGTTTAAAAAATTCAACATCGATTATAATCTGAAATACATATATATATATACATACATGATAAATTATTTTTATGTGAATCAGATTTTAATCTAATAACCGGTTTTCTCACAGGTTTATGCATGCATGCATGCATGCAATGTTCAGTTACTTGCTTTTGCTTTATCCTGCTGCACATACACTCCCTCACATTAACATACACTAACAATGTATGTGAACACAACTCCTTTTTGCATCATTATGCTCATAATCATAATCTTAATATCAGCATCATTATCAAACCTTCTTCGTTGGTCTCTCTCTCTCTCTCTATTTTATTATTTATTTACTATTTTTTAGTTATTATTCTACATGCTTCTTCCTTAGTTTTATTTACTGTTCCGCTATTGTGTAAAATTCCATTGTTCAATTGGTTTTATAACAATAATAAAGTTTAAGGCGCGCTATGTGGATCGGGTTTTTTCATATGAGTGAGTCGGGGATTGAAGAAATTTGGATGTTGTTGATGATGTTATTAATAGAGAAAGAAAGGAGTTTGTTAATAAGTAAGCGCGCGTAAAGTAGTACACAAACAATAACAATAACAACAAGTGTGTATC